GAGTCTGATATGGAGACTCGGAATCTCTTCTTCCCCCAACAACGCACAGCATCCCTTCCCCCCAACCCAGAGAGCCTTAGAGCATGGAACTGCGTGCCCGCCAAGCTCGAGGGCAGAGGAAGTGGCCCTTTACAGAGGGGCTGCCCCATCGCTGCTGCTGCCACGCACCATTCCCGCGTATGGAGGTAGGCAGTCACGTTCCCCTCTCCCAGGATGGTAGCTGAGTACTGGGTTTGAATCCAGTCTACTGCTTACTTCACCTCTCAGCCCCTCGTTTTCCACACCCAGAAAATGGGTGCAGGAGCATCTAATTCATCTAGCTGTTGTGAGGATTTACTGAAACAGGGCATGGCAAACACTTAATATCTGGGACAATAGTAAGTGCTTATAATGCCAGTAATAACAATACTTTCCTTAAATGCGAAGGCCCCTCCCAGGAAGGGATCCCCCCTCCTTTTTTCACAGGTGGGGAGACATTGTTATTATTATTTTACAAATGAGTACTTTGAGGCTCAGAGCTTGGCTTGCTGGCAGGGAAGCAAAGATGGGAAGGAGGTATGGGAATGCAGACTGGTACAGCCACTGCGGAAAAGAGTACGGAGTTTCCTCAAGAAATTTAAAATGGAATTGCCCTTTGACCTGTGATTCCACTTCTGGGACTATATCCTAAGAATCTTGAAACACCAATCAGAAAGAATACATGCACCCCTATGTTCGGAGCAGCGTTATTTACAGTAGCCCAAATCTGGGAACAGCCCAAGTGCCCATCAGTAGATGAGTGGACAAAACAACTATAGTACATGTACACCATGGAATACTGCTCAGCTGTAAAAAAGAAGGAACTCTGGAAATTATGTTCAGCAAAATAAGCCAGTCAGAGAAAAACAAATACCATATCATCTCACTAGTATGTGGAATCTAATGAACAAAATAAACTGATGAACAAAATAGAACCAGAGGCGTGGACACACGGAACAGACTGACAAATGTCAGAGGGAAGCGAGGGGCGGGGTGGGGGGAGAAGGGAGGACTGGATAAGGGAAGGTGAAGGGATTAGCTGGAGAACACACATGTGTAGCCCAGGGACACAGACAACAGTGTGGGGAGGGCCCAAGGGGGGAGGGTGGGGGCTGGACGGAGGTGGGCAAAGGCGGGGAAATGGAGGATATCTGCAATAGTGTCCACATGCAAAAATTTTTTTAAATATATTTTATTGATTTCTTAAAGAGAGGAAGGGAGAGAGATAGAGAGTTAGAAACATCGATGAGAGAGAAACATCGATCAGCTGCCTCCTGCACACTCCCTATTGGGGATGTGCCTGCAACCAAGGAACATGCCCTTGACCAGAATCGAACCTGGGACCCCTCAGTCCGCAGGCCGATGCTCTATCCATTGAGCCAAACCAGTTAGGGCGACATGCAAAATTTTAAATTAAAAGAAGATTGGCAGTAGGTGTGTTTGACTTTTCACAGCCATACTGGGATCTCATTAGACATTAGACAGGAGGCAGGCACACGCGAGGTTTGCTTGGATTGGCCCAGAGAGGGTGTGGCCCAGCTGCCCACCTGGGGCTGTTACTCCACTATCATGCTCTCCCATTCCACCAACGGCCGCCCAGGGATCCGGTGAAGAAGGTGATCCTGAGACGGCCCCCCCAGGAAAGGACCCCCTCCTTTTCACAGATGGAAAACAGAGGGGAAGTGACCTGGCTTCTGCTAAGCCTGGTGGCGTCCGAGCCAGAACGGAAACCCGAGTCACTGACATCCAGTCCAACAACCGTGCCCTTCCACCTTGAGAATGTCTAACCTCGGACTTGGAGCCTTAACAACTACCCCGGCCCTGTATACACACACACACACACACACACACACACACACCCACGCACACACGCCTCTGGCTGACAGCTGGGGGAGGAGACTGGCTCCAGAGTGGTAGTTTTCCATCTTTAGATGCATCGTTCCCACCTGAACAGGTTAAAGGAAATGACTGGAAGGGTGGCAGTGCAGTGAAGCAAGTGCTACGGAGTCTAAAGGGACTCCGGTCTGCATTCTGGAGGCTGGCTCCCCATCTGTAAAATGGCGATAGTCATAGTGCCCAGCTCATTGGGTATTCCGACTTCTTGGGAATATACATACATTATCTCTAGACAGAAACAAAGGAAACTGGCTACCACTGGAAGGCCTGCTGGGGGGAAGAGGTGGGAGACTCAAGTTTCGCCCCATTGAAGAGGTAATTATTTGAGTGATTTTTAAAAATATGTTTTCTTAATTGATTTTTTTTACAGAGAGGAAGAGAGAGGGATAGAGAGTTAGAAACATTGATGAGAGAGAAACATCGATCAGCTGCCTCCTGCACACCCCCTACTGGGGATATGCCCGCAACCAAGGTACATGCCTTTGACCGGAATCGAACCTGGAACCCTTCAGTCCACAGGCTGACGCTCTATCCACCGAGCCAAACTGGTCAGGGCTATTTGAGTGATTTTTAAAAAATTGTACCTGGTGCTCAGTGTGAGCACTGGTTATCTTTATAAAGAAGGTTTGACACAGGCCCCCCACCTGACTTCAGACCATCGCTTTCCCACAGCTTCAGGTTAGAGCTCAGGCTTCAAACCCGAGGCAGGTGGTGAGCATGTGGGCTTCAGATGCAGGCCTACGTCCCTGTGTCCCCCGCTTACTAGCTGTGTGGCTGTGGTAGCTGTTCTGTCTCAGTTTCCTTGGTAATAAAGGATGCTAATGGTCCCCACCAGTTGTCAGCAGAATTTAATGAGAGCAGAGCTGCAACCGAGTGGGCACTGGGCATGTGCCCGGCACAGCTTGGAACACATCACATCATCAGGGGCCACTGTCACCCACACTTTACAGATGAGGAATGGGAGGCTCTGGGGGGCAAGGGAACCTGTCCATAGTCACTCAGTTCGTAATTGGCGAAGCCAGGACCACACCGAGGCAGTCTGGTTCCAGAGTGGGTGCCCCTAACCACCGCGCCTCCCTGCCTCTCCTGCACACCTCACATATCAGAACACCTGGCACGCGGAAACTGCTCTGCAAATCACAGCTGTGACTGTGGTTGAGACATGCTAACACACACTAAGCCTTCCCAGGTCACTGGGTAAAATATTCGGGGGCAGGGCTATTTGACAGTTCCTACCTTCTGGGGGGCAGCATTTACCAGCCCATAGACACCCCCCAGGAAACTTAAAGAAGCCCAGATTCCACAGTTACACACAATCCACTCACCACCACCTGAGCCAGACAGGTTGTAGGACAACCCACTGCAAGAGACAAGCTGTTCTTTCCTTTTGGTCAATAGTGCCAATGGGGGGCTTACCAACAGGGGGAGTTTGTCAGTCTGCCCCCAACCCCCCGCCCTGACACATGTAATAGCCAACTTGGTGCTAATGAAGGCCAGGCTGAGGTTACCTCCAACATCAACTGGATTAGACCTTGGCTTACACACACACACCACACCACACCACACCACAAACACAACACACACACACACAACACACACCACACCACAAACACAATACACACACACACACACCACAACCACCACACAAGCACACACACACACACACCACACACACACACACACACACACACACACACGACTCAGAATCAACACCCACCCTTACCCACTGAAACCCAATTGGGTGGAGGGTGATGGATCCAGGCCACCATGGATAAAGCATTAAACAGATAATCTGATTATGAATACTTGAGCTTATTGTTAAGTGTCAATGTCTAAAGCCATTGACTGAAATTCCAAATAGATTTCCAAGAGAGAGAAAGGCTCACTCGGCTCACGCCTCACTGCCCATTCTCTGGTCCTTCCCTGAGAAACCACAGAGCCACCCACACACCTTAGGTGGTTCCTTCTCTAGCCCCACCCTCTGCCCCCAACACACATCAAACCTGGAGACACAAGGGTCCGTGACTGGGAGGGATACGGGCAGAGGGGTTTCAGGAAGTCAGGTCCCCCATTTCCCAGCCTCAGTGAACTACTCTGACCCACCCAGGAGATGGGAACAGCTTTCATGTAAGGTTGCCATCCAGCTAAGGCCAATCCAAATCTTTTGGAAATGTCCCTCCCACTCACTCCTCCTCCTCGGGGAGGCCTAGTCTAGAAATCATCAGACTTCACCTTCTCCCAGAGAAATGAGAAAGCAGCCCACTCCTGCCAGCTGGGGGGAGGGAGGGTTCCGGACTTGGGAAGGTCCTGTTGCTAATGAAGGGAGGCCCGAGCCCAGCACACCTGAGGATGTCTCAGCCCAGATCAGTGGCTGGTGATGACCAAACTCTCCGGGAGAGGCCAGGAGGCGAGGAGGGGAGGAGGGGAGGAGGGGAGGAGGCGAGGAGGAGGGCCTAGTGAGCCAGGCCTGCCAACAACACAGGTCCAGCCATATTCTGGGCTTGACCAGAGAAGTAAAGGAGTGGAGCTCAGGCAGGGCCAGATGCTTGGTTGTCAGAAGAGGAAGGAGCTTCAGGTGGATGGAAGCGGGTGTGTGTGTGTGTGTGTGTGTGTGTGTGTGTGTAAGAAAGGGGAGGGGCAAGACTACTTCATGGGAAGGGGAGCAGAGGAAGGGAAACAGTCTGGGGGCAGGGCTAGAAGCTACTGCCCCCACCCCCAGGTACCCAGAAAGGCCTGGGGCCCCTGGCCTTGGAGGAAACAGCTGCAGGAAGGGCACAGCTGCCACCACAGAGCCCCTGCTCAGAACCCACCAAATTCCTTCTCCCACCACAGGGCCCCTCGGAGTCTATGAAATGCTCCCCAGCAAGCCTGCGTGGAGAACTGCTAAGCCCCCGTCCCCCTGCAGTGCCCACCTCCCATGGTAGGTGTTCAGCAAGTACGGAGCTGTTCTTCATGAGAACAGGATCCCAGGCCAGCAGTGCTCATACAAGGGGGTGGGAGATGGGTATCTGGGAGGCTGGTCTGTCCGTGTCCCCAAGAGTGGGGGACATGGGAGGTGAGGGACTCAGGGACTCGGGCGCTATTACCTGTATCCTGTCTTCTGGCAGCTCCGTTTTCATGGCCAGCATCTCCCGGGCATACACGTCTGGGTAGTGGGCCTCGTTGAACGCCTTCTCCAGCTCCTCTAGCTGGTAGGAGGTAAAGATCGTCCTGCGGGGAGCAAACGGATACTCAGGACCCTGGAAACGGGACGAGGCTGTCCCAGAGAGGACAGAACGGCCCTTCCCTGTGCCTCCTGGACAGACCCCAAACCCAGGCGCTCAGCACAATCAGACACACACTCTCTCCCTCACACACACACACACACACACACACACACACACACACACGCTCCCATGCGCACGTGCGTGCACACGTGTTCGCACACACACTCAGCCTAACCCTCTGGACTTTTCTTCTTTCAAGGCTGAGGACCCCCAGTGCCCTTCCGATGGTGGTGGGGATTATTTCAGCCCTGAGGGGGCGTCTCATTGTAGGAATCTTTCTGGAAGAGCTTGTGGGGAAAGGGTGTTAGATAGACATTTGAGAAAGCTGCAGAAGGCCCCTCTTCCTCCTGCCACGCACAGGGCCACAGGCGAGGGGGCGCCAGGTAAATAAATGCCTCACCCGCTAGGACCTGCTCCCTGGGCTCCTCTGACAGTTGATCTTTCACACTGCACTCACCCGAAGATCAAAGGCAGCTGCGACCCCAGTGTTTATGCAACTGAGGACTGAATGCCCCTCCCTTGCAACCCACCCAACACTCCACCTTCCTCACCTGCCAGGGTCCACCGGCTCCTTAAAGCTGCTCTCCTAATTGTAGGGGTGAGGAATATGAGGGGGAGGGCGCCCAGACCCTTCCGGTGCTCAGAAGCCAAGAGCCACCTTCCAACCATCCCCCCCCCTCCACACACACAAGCTGGGGAACAACCTAGGGGGGCCCTGAAATAGCCTACCTCCACACCCCTCCCCAACCCACCACTGAGCAGTGAAGAATCTGATAAAAGCTACATCCTCTCACCCGCCCTACGAAAATGTGCAAACGAATATGCTCCGACACATAACATTTCACTCCCACTACCAGGGGGTTCATAGACCTCCTTTCCTGCATAAACACACTACATATCCACCTGCAGACACAAAGTCTTCTTTCTTCAGACCTTAATTTCACCAAGTCCTGGGTGACCTTTCTCTCAGCCACAAGTCAGCGGGCGATAGCGTCCAGATCCCACACACTCAACTCATAAACATGGTACCTTCCCTGCTGGAGCCTCTGGGACTTGGGACTCCGGGGCAGCACAGGGGTGTAGAACCCCTGACTGCTGCTCGCACGCGCCCCCAGCACAGGAACAAGTGCAAAGTTCAGCCCCCGTTCCTTGTGCTGGTTTGTCTTCATGTCTCAGGGTCTGATGCAGGGGATTGTGAGGAAGAAGGATTCTGCTCCTTATAGAAAACGACTGGTTTGATTCTAAATCGTTTCTCCTCTCCTCTTGGGGGTGGGGATGGAATGCTTTTGTAAACAGAAAGTTATTTCTTCAGAATTTTGAAGAAATTCTGTTTCTCTCTTGCCATTTACTGAAAGGTCCCCCTACACACAGTGTCAAAATAAACAATCGAAACAGGCAAGTCCTTTGCAAAACTCAGGGAAACTGAAGCAAGCACATAGGTGTTGGGGCCACAGCCAAAGAGAAGAGCTGACAATAGGTTGTTTAAGACCCTTCACGCGCCCGCCCTTTGCTTAGGAGAGCTCGAGCTCGCACTCAAAACAAAACAAAGCCTCAGGTCCCCCAAACTTCCCCCCATTCCTGTCGCAGAGCCAACCCCTGCTCCCCAGGACCCTCCCTGCGCTCCCACAACGTGAGCCAGAAAACCTGCTCCCGGTTTTCTGCAGAAACCCAGACCTTCGGGCCCCCACTGTCTCCTGCCTGAGCTTTCCGGGTACAGAGATGAGGAAAAGCCGAGACTCCCAAGGCTGCTGGCCCATCCTCTCTCCCCGCTCCAACCCCCATAAACCTGGGTGTTTCTGGGAAATGAGCGATGCCCTGTCTCCTCTCACCAGATTCCAGGATCTCTTCCCTGAAATCCCCAAACAAGAGAAGCTCAGAATAACGTTTGCGTCGTTTTTAAAAAACTAATTAAAAACTGCACTGGCCATCGGTAGCCATTCTCCTCCCTCCACTAATCGGCTCCCTTCATGCACCAGAAATAGCCAGAAACCTAGGGCAGGTGGCGAGTCCTCCTGCTCCCTGCGAACCTCCAACGCTCCCACCGGTCTCCCTGGTGGAGAGGGTGGCAGGCGAGGGCAGAGGGCCAGGAGCCTGGAGCATGGCCTTCGGGCTGTGGGTCAGCCAGCTCCGAGTGCCACACAGGGCGGCGTCCTGACGCAGAAACGCTGTGGGGCACCCAGGGTCTGGGCCTGCTTTCCCCAGGGCTCTTCTTGCCGTGGGAGCCCCTCTCTCCTTCCCCCTCGCACCAGCGCAGAAGCAGTTCAGCAGACCGGTCCTTCCCCGTGGCCTGGTCCCTGTCCCTGGACTCAGAGGCTGGCAGGACCACCCACCCTGGGACCGGCATGTCGTGGGTGCAAAAGAGGTGTCTTAATGAATATTCGTTGGGTAAATGGATGTAAAAAATGACCCAGGATCAGGACCAACATAAAATGTTTCCGTTTAAAAGAAAGCAAAACAAAAACGAACAGCTGACTGGAGAGAAGGAGCGAATCAAGGTCATGGGGAAACCAAGCCGAAGTCCACTCGCAGGCGGGCGGGAGCCTGTTGGGGTCTGAGGGCTCAGGAAGAGCCATTTAAAAGGTGGGGGTCAGTTGCGCGGTTCCCAAGGGTGAAGGAAGAGGGACAGGCAGAAAAGCGCCCAGAGAAAGGGTGCGATGAGGCTGAAAACAAACTGGGGTGAAAGAACAAGGAGGTGCAGGGGAGAAGGGGGAGCCCCGTGGGGCGAAATGCCCTGAGAGCCCGTGGGACCCACCTGGGCCCACCCCCGCAGAGGGAAGTTTGGGAAAACAGCCCGGGGTGAGCGCAGGGACAAGCAGCACTCGCAGAAAGTCGGGCTGATGTTTCGTTCTTGCCGCTTTATTTTCTTTAAAAGCTGCTGGTAAATTTACACAAGAATTTGGTGCTGATGGCCAGGAGCCTGCGGGCCTGGGGTGAGGGGATTACTTGTCAGGATATAGCTTTTCGAAGGGATTGAATTTTAACTCTGTGCCAGTAACGCCTCTTTAAAGACGTGTTTTTTAAACTCTCTTTTTAGTCTGTACCCCAGTGCAGCCCACTCCACTCCAGCGAGGGCGGGTGGGGTCATCCAGTCCACACATTCCCCCGTCTTTCCCCATTTTACAGACAAGGAAACTGAGGCTCGCAGAAGGGAAGCTACCTTGGGGACCACAAGAGCAGAAGCCTAACGAAAATGTCCCATCAATGCACATGGCACGCTCGAGCTTTGGGGAAAGGTGGGAGCAAGGCGGTAGCGAACTGTGAGCACAGGGGCCGAGGGAGAGGAAGGCGGCCGGGACGGAGGGCAGAGGAGCCGGCTCGGGCGGGAGGTGGGAGCCGAGCTGCCCGCGTGCATGGCTCTCACGTGCATGGCTCTCAGATGTGCAGGTGCCTGGAAGCACCTGGGAGCTGCCAGCCTCTGTGGCTCTGGTTTTCGGCGGGGCCTTTCCTTTCTCCCAAAGGAGGAGGAGAAAGCCTGGCCTGGTGCGCCTCCCTGGCGGCCCCTCACCGTCCTCGCGGGGCGCAGCCCGCGCCAGGGCCCGGGTGTCACCAAACAACGCCTGCTCCCCGCGCCTGGGCGCAACCTTAGACCTCAGATCTGATGGCGGTGAAAACGGAGTCCGAGAGGCCCGACCCCCACGGGTCCGGGACGCAGGGCCGGGAGCAGGAAGGTGACGGGAAGACCAGGGGCCTTACCTGTGCCGCCGCTTCTTCCGCTTCTTGGTCTGGGCTAAGGCTGACTTGGGCATTTTCCGGTCGCTGGAGGAGACATCTTCAGAATCTGGGAAGCGGACGGAGACATGCGGCAGCAGCGGGGGCGCGCTGGGAAGCGCTTGGGAGCCCCGGGAGTCCCAAACCCGGGGTCCCAGCCCACCCCGGCCGCCTCTGGGAGCGGCGGGGACCCGCTCGGCCTCCCCGGGAAGCCTTCTGCGAGGTCGACCCCATCCCTAAGCCCTGGCTGGCCCTGCCCAGGCCGACGCCCCGCTCCGGAGGTTTGGAGTAGATTTCGTTGTAAGAGAGGCCAAGGCCCGGCGCTCTGGGGGCAGGGGTAGCGGGGGACGAGGCCGCTCTCGGGGTGTCAGGGTGACCCCCGCGACGTGCCGGGCCCCACGCCCTGCCCCGCGCTTGCAGCCCGGTTGCCCGGGAATCGAAAATGGGCCCCAAGGAGCGGAGCCGGGGCGCAGGTAGCTGGCGCGGCGGTGCCTGCACGATGCGCCCCCGTTCGGGACTGGAGACGCCGCGCCGCGACTCTTTCCGTTGTTTTCCAAATAAAAATAAATAAAACGGTAACGGAAAATCGGGGGAATTTCGGGCGCCAACAGGAGCCGGGGGCTGGGACGCGAGGCTGAGAAATGGGTCTGGGGAGGGTGTGGCTGGGTCACTGGGGGCCCGCGAACCCCGAGGCGCCGGGATCCCCTAAACAGTGGCGCTCAGGAGGAATCAGACCGGGCCGACCCAGCCGCCTCGGTGGCCAGTTGTCTAAGCTCGTGGGGTGGAACCTCCCCCCCCCCAAACCCTGACAAAATCGGGAAGGGAGTTTGGAACGGAGAGAAGGAAGGAAAAGACAACTTTGGGCACCGGGGCCGGGGCGAAGCTGGCACCCGCTTCGGGGCCATCAGCGCACGGAATAGAGCGCGCGTTCTCCAGGAGGCTGGGGCCGCCGCGGAGCCGAGAAACTGGGGGCCCCCACCCGCCCCAAGGGCTCTGACACCCCCCAGCCCAGTTTCCAGGGGATCCCCAACTGGGCGCCGCACCAGAGCCGGGACCAGCGCAGGGACGCGAGAGCAGCGCCGAGGCCCGGAGCGCGGGGCGTGGAACCTGGCGGCGCCCGGGGCATCCTCCCGGCCCTCGGCCCCAGCGCGTGGGCCCCAGGCCGGGGGCGACCCCGCAGCCGGGCAGGAACTTCTGCGCCCGGAGCAGGCCTTGCGGCACAAGCGAGAGCCCGCGGCGGCGTGGGGTCCCGGCTCCGGCGAGGCGGGCAGCGCCCTCACCTACCCGAGCTGGCCGTCTGGCTGGTATCCAGAGGCCCCGACGCCCTGCTCAGCGGCTGCAAGTGGACGCTCTGCGGGTCGGACAGCACTTCGAGGAAGGTGGGCTGCGCGTAGAAGCCGGGGAGCCCCCCGGGCCCCAGCAGCCCCATGCCGCCCACTCCCGCGGGGCTGAGCACGGAGCGCGCGGCCAGCAGGTGCCCGGAGGCCAGGCCGTCGAGGGCAGCCCGCGGGTGGGAGCTTGGGGGCTCCTTGTTCAGGCCCAGGATCTCCTGAATGCCGAAGCCCGTGCACCTGGCCGGGGCGCTCCCCGGGGTACTCTTGGCCACTGTCTCGCATTTGGGCTTGCTCAGCGCTTCCCCCGATTTCCCCGTCATCTCCCGGCTCTTCGGAGGGGCCAAGGCGCCGGTCTATAGCTCCCCCCGCCCCACCCCCGCCGGGCTCGCCGCTCTGCGAAGTTGGTCCCAGATGCCCCCTCCGGTGTCTGATGCTCTGGAGCCCCAAGGAGATTCCCCTTTTATCCAACCAGGCGGCAGCCCAAGTGGGGTCAGAGCTGAGCAGCCAATCACTGGGGCCAGGAGCGATTAGGAATTCCAAAAAGCTGGCAGCGCCAGGGGCCTGGGCGCTGGGGGTGGGACGCCCAGGGGCAGGGTCCCAGGGCCTGAGCTGGGACAACAGAGTCAGGGCAGGGGCGGGAGGTAGGGTGGGGTGGGATTCTGGCAGAGCCTGGCTGGGACTGGGCCCTACAGTGGGTGGGAGGATGGGCTGGGGGCAGATGTTGGAGACCTGACCCTGGCCGGTAACTCTTTTGCATATTGGAAGGGTCTAAGAAAGCCCAAATATAGGACCCCTGTGTGACAGGCAGAACAAGGGAGGGAAGAGCCCTGGTCAGGGTTGTGGGGACAGTGGGGGAGGGGGGGGCGCGGAGAAGGAGCCGGGGTGTGAAGAAAGCTCAAGGCTTCTCTCCCAAACCGAACTCTAATTCACAAAAGCTACTCAATAAATATTGGCTCGATGAATAAATGAATGATAAGAGGGTCAGAAATGGGGGTCCCCGTAGGAGAGAACAGTGGTGACTTCTTTTGGATAACAACCCTGGATGTCTGAACATCTTCCTAGAGTAAGCATGAAGTGTGCCCAACTTCCATGGAAGGACTCCATTCATTCATTCATTCATTCATTCATTCATTCATTCACTCATTCATTCAACTAACGTGTATGGAGCACCTTATTAGGTCTAGGAATTAGGGTTCTGCAGTAAATCAGATAGGCAAGGCAAGGGGTCTGCTATACCCCAGAGTTCACTGAGCAAGCAGAATAAAGAGGACGGGGTTTTTGATGTGGATGGGAAGGAGGAGGGAGGGTGTGAGAGGCAATGAAAAGGTGCGCTTCTATCTCCAGGGGATGGAACTCCCTTGCCTAACTCCTGTGTTGAAAGCTGCAGACTTGCAGCCAACTGGGCCAGTTGAGAGGCAAAGAGGCAACAGGAAACTGCGTTAGGCAGTGTGGCCCTCACCTGGAGAGAAGAGAAAAGCCCGAATTCCAAAGGTGGGCAGTGGAGCTGCTGGTCTCCTGCTTGAGGGCTCTGAGGAGCGCAGCCTCCTTACACACATACACACACACACACACACACACACACACACACACCATGGGCCCCCGAGTCCCTGCACTGTACCACCTCAGCCTACTCTTCTGTGACCTTAGGGCCGGAGACTAGCTACCTTGACACCCTCCTCTCCACTGTGTCAAGCATAAAGCAGGTGTTATTGTTTTGTTTTGAATTTTAGAGGATGTTTATTGCAGCTGGAGACAGTGAAACAAGGAAGGGCTAGGGAAATGAGCCTGGGCTGAGCTGCTTTGGCTCACTAAGAAGTCGAGAAACGGCAGCCTTGGGCACAGGTTCAGGGGTTTACCTGGGATGAACTGCCGCTGCCCATTGCTGCGTTGGTTGCAAGCCCCGTGAGGTCCCTTAGAGTTTAGGAAGTGCATGCCTGTGGGGGGAAGAAAGGCGAGTGGGGAGGCACGGACATGCTCCTGGGAAGGAGCGTGCACCCACACAGCAGGCTTTAAATGAAGATACCCTATGGGGGGAGACACAGAAAGGGTCCGTTGCTTTAAGCAGAGACTGGAAAACCAGGCTGGGGAAGAGATTTCACTCAAGGTTTCTTGACGAGTCAGCTACAAACCCTAGTAGAGTGAAACCCCCTACCTACCCCCAGCCTTCTGCCAAGGAGTCTGATACTCTTTGTGGTTACCAAGGGGGCAAACTGAGAGGAAAGAGGAGACCCCATAGGATGTGGAACTGAGGTCTTGCTCGCAAGGCTATTGTGAGTTGGGTCTCTACTCGCTCCCACCGGCTCCACACGTGAGTCAGAATTGGGCAGGGGCATCTCTCAGGGCAGGAGGTGTCTGGGAATGCCATGCCTCCTGTGTACCTACAAGGCCCCAGGCCCTTGGCATGGCATCATCTGTCGTCCTCACAAGAACCCTGTTAGCACCCTGGTCAGCACCACATCTGAAAGATGGCATAGCTATTCTTCTCTGCCAGGTGCAGACTCGGAATGTGCAATCTTGAGGCATCTTTCACCTTGTAGTCTATGGAGTGGAATTCCATGTGGCACGCACTCACATAAACCACAATGTGAGGGGTGCCCCCTGGAGGTGTGCAAAGCAATGGCTTTGATTCCAGATGAGAATTTCTCTATTTCTACCCCCATTTAATGAATGTGGAAACTTAGTTTCTCACAGAGGTTAGGTAACTTGTCCTAAGCTACCTAGCTAGGAAAGCAGCAGAGGCCAGCCTCGGCCTCAAATGAGTCTGGTGTCGGAAACTGTTCCCTTTTGACTCCATCCCTCTCTCAGCCTCCTCTCCAAGCCAGCCTAGCCTGGAAGGATGAATAGGAATGTTATGTTAATGGCATCTGTCATGTCCCTGACTTATCACGGGACATCCACGATGAGCCAGATGCCAGCCGACGGGCAAGGACGTGAGTGATGGAAAACAAGTGTGTGAGTGATGGAAGCTCGGCTCTTGCCAGGAAAGGAAGATGAAAAATCTCTTGACCAAACACTGTCTGAAGCTGCCGGTTTCCTCTCCCAGGAAGATAGTCACCATCCTGCCTTAGGAGGTTGGGGATGGGGACAACCCAGGCCCTCTGAGCACTCTTGCCAGGGGCTACAGGTGGAAGGAGGGCCCAGCATCAGCCCACAGCCAGCGCCAGTCCTCAGAACGGGGCTCCTGACAAATTCCTGGCCTGGGGGCTGTCTCTGAGCTTTGGGGTGTCATTGTTACTGCTCCACAGCTGCCCTTAGTCTAGTCCCAGCCTCAAGACATTTGTGGACTCTTGGGGGAGCCCTATAGGAAAAGGCTGGCCCCAGAGCTTGGGCTGGGAGTGGGGGGACTGAAGCATACCCTTTCAGAGGCATTTAGCTTGTTCACACTGAATCCATTCCTGGGTCTGCCACCCAACAGCTCCGTGGCTTTGAGCCAATCATTCAACTGCTCTCTTAGCTTCAACTGCTTTGCCACTAAAACAACCTGACACCGGACTTGTGAGCATCCCCTGACCCCCTGAGTTAGCATAGGGCTCTAGAGCCAGACTGTCTGGGTTCAGACTCTTGCGCTATCACTTACTTGGTGGCTTTGGGAAAGTTACCCAATTCCTCTCTGCCTTCTGTACCATAGTTTTCTCATTTATAAAATGGGAACAGTGGTAGTAATTACCCCTTAAAATTGTCATGAAGATTAGAAATGTACATGCTGGAAATGGTAAATAGGCTAGAAAGTGAGTGTACAAAAATAAGGGTCCCGTGAGCTTTGGTTATTGTTCTCGTGCAGGAGGACACTTGGGACTGGTGATATGGTGGGGAACAAGACAGATCTAGTCCTTGCCTTGATGGAATTTGGACCAGTGATCGAAGGAGGTCCTGTTAGCATGGTGCCTGGCCTGGGGGACTCAATACATCATAGCTCTTAGTAGTATTATGAATGGGTGTCAGGCCCTTTATCAATTTAATCCACTCAACTTCTCGGACAGGTCAGAAGTTCTGTCCCCCTTGTTACAAATAAGGCCCAGGGAGGAAGATGAGGGTGAGGGAGGATGCCATCTCCGGCCTTTGCCTTGGTGCTGGTCATTTTTAGCATCAGCTGCAGCCAAGTCACTGTCCCCTGTAGCTGTCTCCCTGAGTCACTCGCCAGCCACCAGCAACAATTTTTGGAGGGAGACGGGGTGAAAAATGCAAGAAAGAAAAAGGACCCGTGTTTGAATCAATAATTGCATTATGAATCTGTCACCCATGACTGTGTTTCACTTTTTTTTTTTAAATTTGTATCCTGACCAGTTTTTTGTTTTGTTTTGTTCTTGTTAATCCTCACCAGAGGATATTTTCCCATTGATTTTTAGGGAGAGTGGAAGAAAGAGGGAAAGACAGAAAAACATCGATGTGAGAGAAACACATGGATTGGTTGCCTCCTATACGAGCCCCAACCAGGACCCAGGATGGGGAGGAGCCTGCAACCAAGGTATGTGCCCTTGACAGGAATTGAACCCAGGACCGTTTGGTTTGCAGGCCGATGCTCTATCCACTGAGCCAAACCGGCGAGGGCTGTTTCACTTAAAAAAAAATTATATAGATATATGATTTCAGAGAGGAAGGGAGAGGGAGATAGAAACATCAATGATGAGAGAGAATCATTGATTGGTTACCTCCTGCATGCCCCACACTGGGGATCGAGCCCGCAATGCAGGCATGTGCCCTGACTGGGAATCAAACTGTGACCTCCTGGTTCATAGGTCAGCGCTCAACCACTGAGCCACGCTGGCTGGGCTGTTTCACTTTTTTTTAATGCTCCTGTCTTTTGGGGGCTTATCCCTTGAGAGTAAATTCTTATTGTTTATTGTGCTGGAGTTTCCGGAGAGAGTCCCAGAGGTCCTGCTCTCTCCTCCTGTTTGGAAATACAGAGGCAAGTGATGCCCCACAGTGCTCGAGCTACCATCCTGCCCCACTGAGAATGGGAACGAGGAAAGGAAGGGGCACCAGAGGGTTTGGGAAGGGCCACTGAGGTCAAGGCTGCTGACTTCCCCCAACCCAGGTCTGCTAAACACATCTGACCTCAACCCCTGGGCCTGTTTCCTTCTCCTGGTTCTCCCCATGGACTTGCCTTAGGAAAGGCCAAGTGCGTGGGAGAGAAGGGACAGACTCTTGGCATTGCCTCCAAACCAGCCTTGTCGAGTCCCTGTCTCCTGTTAGTCACCTTCCAGGTGCCACCTGTAGGTCCCGCAGGACTTCATCCCAGCAGAACACACCCACCAAGTTTCAGCTGCCCACACCCTTCCCTAGCCTTTGGATTGAGCACTGATGATGAGTCAGATACTGT